CAGACCTGTTACAAAAGGATGCATTAAACACCTCATTTCTGCTTTGGGAATCTCTCAGACCCAGTAAGGTGACAATGGAAAATGCTTTGACCCTCCCCTGAGTACGGAGCACCCCAGCTTGGTTTCCGGGCACACTGTACAGTATTGGCTGATTCCCCTGTGATGGTGGCTCAGGGCCTGCTGCCCAGCACAGCAGTTGATAGTACTGTGCCATCACTGTGACCCCTCAAAGTGGGACCTACAAGTTAGATTTCTTTTCTTCCTTTTTAGAGATAAGCAAATTCTCCAAACTTCCTCCTGCTGAGCACATGATCAATGCCAGCCCCCTTTCCTCAGAAGCAGTGGCAGAATATTCACATGCTGAACCCAGGGTCCAGCTTCCTTCCCACAGAAAGAGAATGAGCCCAAGGAGTTGGAAGCTCCACAGCAAGTGTGGAGGTCTGTACCATCTCTTTCCCCCAGTTCCTTGCTATAAAGACCTTGTCACAGCTGTATTCGGGGAGATCTGAGGCAAAAGGGCCCTTCCATCTCCTCGGAGCTAGCTTTGAATAAATCCTTTTTCCTTTTTGCCAAACCTAAGCAGCCAGTAACAATACCTCCCTAGCCCCAAAAGAGACCCAAATTCAGAATTTGAAGTGTAGCTTCTAGGGCAGGTATATTGCTTTTGTACTCTTGTGAGGTAAAAGATCATTTGTGGAACCAACCCAGGTCCAGGAGGCACTGAACTTCCTTTGGCAATGTGAGCAGGGTAAAGGGAAGCTGGAAGGTAGGCCTGGAAGCTGGACAGAAAGGAGCCACTGGGCCAGGGGGCTTTGAGGTGGTTTCTTCTAAGGAACCCTGCAGAAGGCTGTGGATGCATAGCTCTGTGAACGCTAAGAGAAGCAGGCGGTTTTGCCTTAGAGAGGCACCACCTGGAGTGGGATGGTTCCTGCGGGTGGGAAGGAGGGGCAGATGGTGATGTTTGGATGGTAACAACTCATTCCCAAGTGGTTATAGCTAGTCCTGGGGAACTGGCCTTTCCAGGACAGCAGAGAAAAGGGTAAAGGGTCCCTGCTTCACACAGGAAGGAGCTGCATAGGCCAGGAAGGTGAGAATGAGGGTCAGTGCCCAGAAACTGTTGTCACAACAACGTGCAGCAACCCTGGAAGCAGTTACGCCTGCTTGCCAGTTCCTCAAGGCAGACGGGGTCTCACTGTCCTGTGTTAGCACTTGGACCCTTCCTGACACTCCCCTGGGTATCATCTGTGGGCCAGGGACAATGATGCCACCTTGCCAAGCTGGAAGGGGAAAGTGGCTGGGAGCCAGACCTCAGGGGGAAGAAGGAAAATGTCCTTTGCAGTGAATTTGCCCTTGTGTCTGTCATGTGAAGCTTTCTCTGGCTCATTTTCACAAGTTGTGCCTGAGTCCAGGGCCCGAAGCAATCATTATCAACATCATAGATGTCGTCTCATTTTTTGCATCCATTGTGTGAGGCAACATTGATTTTTTTGCCTATCTTTGAACAGCACAGCCAGAAGACTGCAGGGGGACAATGGCTTTGACTCTGCAGCCTCTTCCCCTGCTGTCTCTGACTCCCAGCTCCCATCATAGCCCTGTTTAAGAGTCTAGAGGGCTCTACATGTGGTGTCTCCCCATAAACACCGGATGGAGCTCAAGGGCAGTACCATGTGGTACTGTACCATCAGGGCTTGTCAGGCGACAAAATGACATCTGTTCAGTGAGCATTTAAAAAATTCCCCAACCAAGATCATTTATTCCCTGCTTGCTCTGTTCCCTGTGTGCTATTCCATGCTGGTTAAACAAACAAAAGTAAGAGAGACTCCATACTGCTCCATGCTGGGGGAGGCTTTCCGGTGAGGACAAGTCAAGAGAGGGGCAGTGTTCAAACCAGGCGATGGACTCTGGCAAGGCTGAAGGACACAGGGTAAAGCTTACCCAGAGCTTACCCAGAGCAGGAGCAAAGCCCTTCGTGGAAATACCTTTCCTGACCCTAGTAAGTGCCACTGTCTCTGTCTTTTTAAATCGTTTCCGTTTCTACCGTGACCTTCTTAATGAGGCGGTCAAATTGAGCTCTTCCCAGGTGAGGTGACATTCATTGGCCCCTGCCCATCTGTTCGACCCCTGCCTCTTCTCTTCAGCGAGCCTCCCTATCTCTGTGCGCTGCGGGGACTGCAGCGGTGCACTGCGCAGCCACCTTCATTAAACTGTCCACCGTGATTCATAGGCGCCTCCCCCAGAGGTTACGCATAACTCAGAAGCCACCAGCGCGCCAGGGACAGGCAGCTCAAATTGTTCCTCCAGGGATGTGTTGCCTGGCATTTTCCCCCATGGAAATTCACTGGCCACCTTGGTGTCCAAGGGCTCCACCCAGCTGTGCCCTTTACAGATTCCTTTGCCCCCAAAGCAAAGGAAATTTGCCTGTAGCAGAAGAACGAAGGAGCTGGACTGTGCTCCCTTGAGGAGGTGAGAGAGAAGAGAGAGTGCCAGACACTGAGCAGGGACCACACACCGCCTGACTGGCTGGGTTTGAGTGGCTGAAGCTCACCGAGGGGAGATGGTGCTGGGCTGAACCTGTGACCCTTGCTAGGAAGCGTCAGGCTGGACACTGCCGATCTATAGTGTGCTGACCTCAACATGGTCATCCTCCCTCCACCTCGGCCTCCCTGGCTTCCATGTCCGGCCCCCTCTCTTTTGCTGGCCCTACAGAGCTGGCGGCCGTAGCTCTCACCAGGCTGACGTGAAGCTGAGGAGTCCAGGGCTGACATGATAGGGGGTGCGAGCCAGTGTGCTTTCTCTGACACGCCACAGACCGGAAGTGTTGGTGAAGCGTTTCCGGTTTGGGAATATTTGCAAGAGACGATGAGATATCTTAGGGCTAGGACCCAAGACTAAACACAAAATTCACTTATATTCCATATACACCTTATACTTACAACCAGAAAGTCATTTTATACAACATTTTTAGTGCTCCTGTGTTTTGACTGATGAAGTCAGTTATTGAATTTTCCACTTAAAGTGCCATGGGGTGCTCATGGAGTTTTGGATTTGGGATCTTACACTCTTGGATTAGAGATACTTGATCAAATTACTAGTATTTTACCTCAATAACCTCACTGTGTCATACCATCAGGAAATGGTATTTGCTGAGATTTCCCTCCGTTTATGCATGGCTAATCTGAAGCCCAGAGAGGTTGAAGTCATTTTCCCAAAGCCACACAATGGACCAGAGCCTGACATGGGCAAAGGGGCTTCAGTATTATGTACTGGTGGATGTGTTCAGGGAAAACCTCCACCAGCCTCCTTAAAAAAGGAGAGTTCTTCCCAGGCCCATGGCTTCCTGGAATATTTTGACCTTTAATGTGCATTAGAGTTTCCTCTGGGGAGGTAGAAGCATCTTCTTTATCCTTAAAAATCCCCCCTAAATGACAGTAAGAGCAGTAGTCATCTTAGACACCGGGCACCTCTCTTTTGACTGCTTGAAGGTGCTTAGGTTGATGGCAACATATTGCTTCCAAAATATCCCAGCTGTGGGACTAATAACAAAGGCAATCAGTGGCTAACATTCATTAGACACCTGTTAGACTCAACTCTGTGTAGAGGGAAGTAGGGGATTTTGTCATCCCTGCCATAGAGGGGTCAAGAGGCACAGAGAGTTTATGCTTTGCTCGAGGACACATAGCTGATCAATGACAGAGCCAAGCCACTGACTGAGCCCTGTAATCCCTGAGTCCCGTAATCCCCTTCATTGGTGTGTTCTGCTTAAATGTTTCAATTGCTGCTCAATTTATGGAGGAGAGCCTTCCTCTTGCCAGCATCTCCATGCTTACTAAGCCCAGCTCCTCCTTCAAATGTACTGCACTAGTTTTTATTCACAGTGGTGAGTTGCTATTGCTTCTGCAATGTTCCTTCTTTTGACATTCTCAGATGACTGTTGCCAGGGCCCGGTGAGCTGCCACGGCTCCTGAAACCATGGACTATGCCTGTAACAGGGGAGCTCAGGAACTTCCAACTTCCTACATCCCCATTTGGATGATTTTACAACTCACAGTGTTTTAGTTTTATTACTTATAAGGAACAACCATATCAGACACATTTTTGGCTTGGAAATTCCACCTAGTTCAGTGCCCAGTGACAGCTCAATTTCCTCCCATACAGACCTTCCTAAATATCCTTTTCATCTGGATACAAGACTTCTCCCCTCTTTTCAGTGTACTGATTTGGTCTGAGGGGATCCCAAGGAAAAATGAGATTTCTTTGAGATTTTAGCCTCCTTGTGGGATAATTAGCTTGTGAAGGCCATTAAAGATGAGTTTTTTACTGAACCAAGCTGAACAGATTTCAGGTCTCCTCCTATTTCCACATTTAAGCAAAGATGAGGGTACAGTCAAGGGGAACTTTTATATTCAAAGAGTTGCTCTACATTGCAGAGGCAAGACTAGGTTGGGGCTCAGGGTCTGAGACACTTAGAGCTTATTCCTAGCTTACCAGATGTATGACCAGACTGAGCCTCAGTTTCCTAATCTGTAAATGGAAATATTACTAACATTCTCTTGATAAAACTGTGAAAATAATTAGATAAGGCCACATAAACACAGAAATTTGTACACAGCAGGTGCCGAGTAAATGTCAGCTATACTCCGTTTAGACACTGCCTAGAGAGTGCTCAACTCCAATCTCTCTGTCATCAACTGTGGATACTAACACACAAAAGTAGAGATGAATCAGTACTGGCACACATAGTAGCTAAAACTGTGGCCTTTTTTGTTGGTTGCTGCCAAATGGATGATCGATTTTTATTACTAGGAACCCAAACTGCTTGTTCAATAACATTTCTAATTCATTAGCTAAGAAAATCTTTGACAATCAGACATTTCTGCCTATGGTATCGAATAGTCCTTAAAATAGAAGAGAGAGAAACATCAGACAGAACCTGTCTTGTGCTAAGTGTGTACTCTCCCTCTAATCTGATACTGGCCAGTGCCCTTGTAAATCATACTCACCACACTGAGTCCTTGGTGAGTTTGGAACTCACGTTCCCGTCTTCTTCCAGGAAGATATCCAATTGCAAGTTGGCATCATTATCATGGGCTGAGAAGTAATTGGTAATGACTCTTGCTGGAATTCCAAGGCATCTCAAAACTACAGAGAAGAAATGTCACTACACTTGAGACACATTGTTGCAATTTAAGAAGCACACAGTGAAGAATCCCTTTCCATATCTTCTATGCCCTGTGGACATGTCCTCAAATGTTCCTCAGAGAGGAAGGGTGACTTGTTCAGCCTCTGGGAGCCGAAGAGAGATGTCTTGCTGTGCAATGCTGCAGAAATTTCCCTGGTGCCAAATATAGGCAACTAGAAGAGAATCTAAGCTTCACTTTCTAATCATGGGGTTATCAGAGTAGTATTATTTTGGCCTACTTAATGGAATCATGCTCCTGAAAATGAAGTTTGAAAACTCTAGTAGGAAGTTAGGAATTTACAGAGCAGGTCCTCAGCGGGGTTTGATCTTCTTGGCTGGAATTTACTCTCGTGGCAAGAAGTGCAGGGTGACACCACAGATTTGTTTTAATTGTTAGATAATAAATTACTTGGATGCCTCTCTTGCCATATGTACCTATTGATTAAACTTAATCCAAATGCCCTCACTGGCTCCCAGGACGCCAGACATCAGGATTCATTGAAAATAATTCACCTGACAATTTTAAGATTAATGACTTGGCTTGCTATTTTTTTTCTTCCTTCAGAATAGTTTAGCATTTAAAAAAAAAAGACTCTCTGCCTCCTTAAGATAGAACAACCTTGGAAGTCCAAACCTGAGTCTCCTCGAGACTCAACTGTTCTCTTCCTTAATGACTTAATCTCAATACCCCCCGCCCCACATCACCAATGACAGGCATCACTGGCTTCTCACTCCCATCTTCCTATCCATTGCAATTCCTATTCACCCACAGTCTTACCCATAAGAGGACTGGTGCTCTTGTTCTATTTTTAGTGAATTTTAGTAATTTGTTTTGTGTGCGTGCTTGTGGGTAGAACCTGGGACCTCCTGCATGCTGAACATGTGTTCTACCACTGAGCTATGCCCCCAGCCCTCTAGTGAGAATTTCTGAACACTGATTCACATGGAAGCACAATAGAACTTACTCTAGAATCTAGTTTACTTTTAATTTTAAGGTGGTGGAATTTACCTTTGGGGCCTGGTCCTCTTTCTCTCCAATCTCCCCCTTCAAGTTTATTCTTACTGTGAGTTCCTCAAAGTATGCTCTTGCCTTTTCTTGATTTACCATCAAAGCCCACTTGTAGGCACAGATCTGACAGTGCTTTCATACAAAAAGGTGCTCACCATTTTATCTGGTTCAGGGCCTGAAGGATTTGAGCTAGGGTAGTGAAGCTATGGGCGTGGGGAGGATGTGAGTCCTTTCTCTTTTCCTGGAGTCTCTCCTCTCGCCATCCTGGCTTGAGGGAGGGAGATCCTTTCAACATTTAACTTATCATGAAGCCCAGGCTTCTCGGACTTCAGGAACCAGTCCTAGGAGACTGATACTTTGGCCTTTACAGGTTCCAGGAAGTGCATATTCCTTTAGCTCTTGGGTGTATTGAAAATCCTAAGAATCTTTTTTTTTTTTTTCAGCTGATACCAGAGGGAAATGAAACAAAGAAAAATTTACAATTTATTTCTATTTGGATCATCGACCAACTGTTAGACTATCACTACTTGGAGCAAAAACTGGCAGGTTTCATAATCATGTTTTAAAATGGCCTTGCTACAGCTTCTCCTTGTTTTGTTTTTTCTTTATTTAAAAAATGCTAACTAGGTGAAACATTCTTTATTAATGAGCAGGCTGGAAGGACACTCCGACTTGAGCTTAATGTTTGTCCAAGGCTGTAGAAGTGGGGTATGAATAAAAGTCATTACCAGTGTGTACTTAAATAAATGTATTTTAAAACATATTCGCTGAATTAACTGCAATTTTATCCGGGTCTACAGAGGCAAAAGCCAGTTTGAAAAATGATGCACAGGGCTGAAGAGAATGCCTCTGTCCCTGTCTGTTGTGTTCTGCAGGCTGGATGTTGGGTAGATTAAACATAAGCATGGCAGCTGGGAGGGGAAGACTGCTCATTCTGTCCGATATCTAATTGCTCAGGGGCATTGAGACTCATGTGGAAGGATGGAGATGAGGCTGCCTGCCACAATCCCTTTCATAATTGGGGTAGAAATTAAGTGGACATATTTTCCACGCATATTTATATAACATCTTGATAATAGGTAAGCAGTATATCTTGCCTTATTCTTATTTTAGATACAGCTTTTTTAATGTTGAAAATATGAGCTTACTGAGAAGAAAATGGTTCATCTTTTTCCCCTGCATCCTTACTTGGCCCCTTGACCCTCCATTGCTCTGAGTATTAAATGATGAATTAAGAGGGAAACGGTACATCATTCTTTTCATAAAGATTCTGCAGTCAGAAAGATTTTGAGCATATTTGACCCAGTACAATTTAATTATGCATCGACTGCATCCCAGAATACTCACCCATAAATTCTGTAAAGCCAACAGGGACTGCTAAGTCTCTTTGCCAGGTTACAGATAAAATGTCTTGAAGTGAAATTTCCTTTATGTTAAAAAATATTACTTAACTGGTTACTTACATGTGTTAAAGACACCAGCAAAAACCCAGCACTGGCCATACTGGACTGGATTCTCAGAGCTCCTGTATTCCAATAGGATGTCAACGCTTCCGGTCCAGGCTGATGGGGGGACGCCGTAGGCATAGACATTGTCCCAGGATCCCACAATGACACCTTGGTCATCTTTGGCATTAATCTAAATGAAGCCACAAGAGGTGAGAAGGAAGAAAGATCATTCAGACCAGCCCCCTCCAGGCTGTCAGTGAGCAAAGTACGGCTTCCAGTGCCTTCCCTATGTCCTGGAGGTGAAAACAGTTCTACTCTATTCAAATCACCATCATGCTGTCAGAAATGCTGCAGAAACTAAATATTCAAAGGGGAAAACAAATTCCCAGGACTGCCTGCTGAACAGTGTTGTATTATATTCCAGTGAGCTCAACAGCAGATACAAAGCATCTTTTCTCACACATAAGGCTCTTGGTTTGGGCCAGATGGTGCTAGGGTAGGAAGAAAGGAAGAGAAAAAGAAGATCTGTAAAAGAACAAGATCAGGAAGAGATCTTGTGTTGGTGGAAGGCGAACTCAGAGCTGACAAAGGAGAAAAAAGGGATGAAACAGACTTTTACTTCTGTGATGAGTGGTGGACATCATGAATTGGAATAATTAACGTGTTGCCACAGAAACAATTATGGGTAAATAAGAAAATAGATTTACATAGGTAATTCACAAAATTTATTCTTTACAATCTTGTTAAAGGAACATTCTCTTTATAGCTATTTAAAGTGATTAGCATTTCATACTGTTAGAAGAAATTTCTATTTCTGCAAAGGGCCTGGGATGTTACAGTTTTGATATAGAGGAGCCTTCAGCAGAGCAGCAAATGGCTATGCTGAATGTTTGGGAAAAGCCTGCTCCACATCCAAAGTATAATCATCTAGTAACAACAGATCTGAAGCGCAGGATCATGTATAGACAATACAAGGAAACCTGAGAATTAACAGTTTTGAGGCACCCTAACAGGTTTTCTGGGCACTGCTGAATTCACCTCTTCTGATGTGAACTTTATCCCATTGAATGAGAGGCAGAAGTGTCCAGGTGGAGGACAGTGGGAGTTTTCAAAAAATGAGTGTCACGTCAACAATTTCCATAATTGACATAACACTTGTTTAGAACCTTATGACACAAAGTGTGGTCTGTGGACCAGCCATTAGACATTTCCAGGGAGCAATTTGGAAAGACAGAATCTCCTTCCACAGCCTCACAGAATAATAATATGCACTGTAACAAGATACACAGGTAATTTGTGTGCAAATCAGTTTGAGAAGCAAAACACTGGAGCACACTGAAAAGATATCATTAAGCAACTTAAAATATGATCGGAATCATGTGCCTTTGGATTATGAAACCCACAGGAGATACTTTGAAATATGGTGACTTTTTAGGTGTTGCTGCCTTGCCAACCAATAGCACAGCCTCAGCACCTGCCCAGAGCTCTCTGTTTGACTTGTTGTATTTAGTAGTAGAGGTTCATAAGTGCAGGGAGAGCAGAAATAAAATCTCTGTCTTTCTGAATTCTAGCAAGTATGAACAAAGAGTTGCTGCTTCATAGTTGTTCAATAATCACTTGTACATTCCACAAACATATTGGTCTTGTATTTTAAATAAGAATAAGACCTTTTCCCTGGGAAGAGATGAGGAAGAGGCTTGTCAAGTGGAAGCAAAGATTATTAATATTAAGAGAGAAAGGGATACAGCCAGAACTGGGTTCCAAGGTGGAAAGAAAATCATTTGGATAGGAGGGTTGTAGTGGTGATATGAGGGCTTCATGGAGCACATGACACACAAGTTGACGAAAAAAGTCCATCCACAGAGTAAAAAGAGTTTCAATCAATTGTTGGTGTCATAGAAAAGAGTGGCAGGGTTAGGGAACCCTGCACAGGTATCACATACAGAGGCAGTGTTGGGTGAAATTGAAAATACTAACAGAAGACACTTAAAATGGTCAAGTGTCTTCTGTTATGAAGGCCCAACTTTCCACTGAAGTGTGACATTCACTCTACCACTGAGCAACTTTTTCCACAGTGAATCCCACAGAGTGCTGTCTTCCTGATGATTCTTCCATTTGATTTTTCTGTTTTTTCCCACTTTGTCTCTGTGTGCAGGAAGTGAAGAGTGTTAGTAACTTCCAAATTAGTGTGTTTGATGTAGAAAGTAGTTCTTTGGAGGTTTCTGAATGATCCTGTTCAGCTAGTCATAAATTCACTCCTCTAGTATGAACTTTGACTTTAGTCTATAGATTAGGAAATGCTCAGGGTTCCGTAGGGGTTAGCCAACTATCTGACTCTATTCATGATCAGTAGTCCTTATTATTGATTTGATTATTTAATAATGTGTATCTATTGTGTATCTGGAAAAGTATCTTGGTAGACTGATGTGGATTGGTCTCTGTGTATAAATTCAACTTTTAACTCACACTACCATTCCTCAATCATCGAGTAGTAGAATAGATAGTATCTATGAATCCCACAGGTAAAAGTTCCTAAACTGTAGTTCTGATGACTGATTTTCAGATAAATAACCATTAATTAAAAGAGCTATTTTTAGCATAAGCCTGAGCCCAAGTAACTAAAGGAAAGAGCAAGGGGGAAGAGCTCTCTTCCTTATTAACCTTTTAATTGTTGATGTTGAGCTGCTCTCCTGTTGTTAGATAAGTCGCAACTCTCATTTATTAGCATTTGACCAGATTAATTGATGTTTTCTAATTAGAACATCAATTTCTATGGCTCTCAGACATTCAAAGAGGTAAGTCTTTAGTGATAGAGGTAAAGAGTTAAAGTAGTTTACACTTTTAGTTTCTCAAAGGTTTAAATGGTATAAGTGATAGTGTGAAATAGGAAGAAAATAGCTAAAGGGGAAGTGGAAAGGGGTGGGGAAATGAAATAAGGAAAAAGAAAAATGTGAAAAGGTGGAAATACGGAAACAAAGTCTTTGTAAATAGGGAAAGGTGAAGTGGGTGAAGGGAGGGCAGGGGTATGGGGTGAAAACAAGAACCAAGACATATCACGTAAAGGTACAAGATCCCAAAGATAAATGAAACTATTGTTTGCTTTAAATGTACCAATAAACATAATGGGGGAAAAAGAGTTAAAGTAATATCTCCCTCCCTAGACAACAAAATATCTTTGGGAGGGGGAGACACTTCAAGGACACACTAGTCCTTTTGTGTGCTACAACTGGTTGCTGTAAGACACCATCATGATTTGACCCGTGGCAGACTAACATGTCTTGGTATTGGTTACTAGGGATCAAGCAGAAAACAGGAGGTCAGGACTATGGACAGATAATGTTATATAATTTCAATATAGCAGTAATAAAGTGCTCTCCCCAAATACCAACAGAATTGAAAAATGAAGGAAAAAATGGCCTGTAAATGTTATTCCCAACAGCCTCAGTCTGTAACATAGTGCAGTAAACCTCAAGATTTGGTGACGGAGAAGATGAGAGCCATGGGGTGCAGCAAACAGGCAGCAGGCACAGACTCTGAATGTAACTACCCTGTTCTTCAGATACTTAGTGCTGAATTATCAAAATCCTGAGTTTTCAAAATTTATTTTTCAAAATCAGGAAAGAAACAAACTGAACTAAAATGAAATTTTTTCTCTTGTGCTGACCAAAATCATGGAAGGAACTTTGGTGGAGAAATAGGTAAGAAACGGTCTGCACATAAAAAAAAGCAGGCATTCTGGGACTAGGCTGGGGAAAGACATGAAGCCCAGGGCCACCTGCCATGGGATGAGGTGTGGAAGTGGATCCTGGAAGGAGAAATTCAGCTGGATCCTAAAAGAAAAAAATAGAAGCCAAGTATTCTAAGAAAGATTGTCCATCTCCTCAGTTAGTCTACTTTCCTTGCTCCAATTTTTCTGTGAGTACTGACAAGTAAACAGGATGCAGTACAGTAGCCTCATACTGTATTCATAGCAGAAACCAAACCCATCTGAGATCAAGAAAAGAGTTAACATTTCTTTTATCCATTACAGCAAACAAACTACCTGGAGATGAATTATGCAAGCATGAACATGGACAAAGAAAAAAAAGACATTAGGAGGGAAGGACAGGAGAGAGAGCATGAAAAAAATAATACATAGATGAAAACAATCAATAAACACAAAATTTCCTCCACAATTTCTCAAGAGATCATGGACCCAAGGGAACAAAATGAGGGCCAAATTATACCATTACAGAAGTAACAATAATTACTAACTACAGGAAACAGAACAGACACTGTTAGAATAATGACATAGAAGACAAGTTTGAGATAATTAAAGTAATACTAATAAAAAAGACAAGCAGATGATGTTATTTATAGGGAAACTAACAGTTATTGAAGATGATATAACATAAGGATAATTAGTATCCTCAGAGAAGAAAACCCAACAAATGAAATAAAGGCTGTATTTACAAAAAAATAACACTTTACTTAATTGAGGTAAAATTTATTGTATATAATGAAAGAATAATCTGTACTCTGTGGTGACTTCATGTAGATTTTTAGTCAATTCAAACTTTAGGAATAAAATGTAATTGGTCATCTAGACAAAAAAAATGCAAATTAGCAATCAGTGAAGGAATCAGCAGCCTTCAGAGTTCTTCATAGTTCCTTTCAGGAAAACATGGGCAGTATGTAGAGAGCCTGGAAGAGAGAATGACTCAGGAACATTGCACACAGCCAAGATGCTGTGTAAGTATGAGGGTAACTAGCACACTTTTCCAAACAGGAAGGATCTCAGGGAACTTGGTAGCTATCTGTGAAAACTCCTTGAAAAGTAAAATCAAGGTAATTAAGGGCTGAATCAGAGTTCGGAAACATTAATCCACGATAAAAGACTCAGTGATGGGAAAAATCCATATAAGTTAAGTGTCTTTGCGACTTACAGTTATAGGATAAATCTGAAATTTTAATATTGTAAAAATAATCATCACTGTAAGAAGAAATTAGATATGGAGGAGAGAGAAGGTATAAAAATGCTAATGAATTATGCAAGCATGAGCATGGACAAAGGAAAAAAGGACATTAGGAGGGAAGGAGAGGAGAGAGAGTGTTTGTCTCTCATAGTTAATTGGTAATGTCTAAAATTAAAATGTAATTTTAAAGTATGTAATTACTTTATTCTTTTAATGGTTTTCATAATTTTTAAAT